GGGACTACAGGCACCTGCCACAACGCCCAGCTATTTTTAGAGACAGGGGTTTTGCTCTTGCTCAGGCTGGTCTCGAACCTGTGAGCTCAGGCAATCCACCCACCTCAGCCTCCCAGAATGCTGGGATTCTAGGTGAGCCACCATGCCTGTCCTGGCAACCTTTTTCTATAAAGGATCACTCAGCAAATATTTTAAGCTTTGCCTGCCACACAGTCTCTATCAGATCTACTCATCTCTACTACAGGAGCACAAAATCAACCACAGACACTGAGTAAATGAACAGGCATGGCTTTTTTCCAATAAAATTTATGAATGCTGAAATTTGAATTTATGTGTCATAAAGTATTGTTATTCTTTTGATATTTTTTCAACCATTTAAAGATGTAAAAGCCATTGTTAGTTCAGGAGCTATACAGGTGGCAGGGCAGGTGTGGCTCAGGGGCTGTAGTTTGTACATACCTCCTCTGTATGGTAGAAAGTTCATTAGCCTTAGAGATAAAAGGCTAAGGTTCTAGATGCCCACAGGCTAGGCTATCTTGGCTGCAGACTTCTTTATCCTGGGTCTCTCTGTCCTCATATTTATATATATACACCTACATATACATTTTTTTTTTTGAGACATTCTCACTCTGTTGCCCTGGGCAGAGTGCCATGGTGTCACAGCCCACAGCAACCTTAAACTCCTTGGCTCAAGTGATCCCCTGCCTCAGCCTCCCATGTAGCTGGAACTGCAGGTGCCCACCACAATGCTCAGCTAGTTTTTAGTAGAGATGGGGTTGAGACTTGCTCAGGCTGGACTCCAACTCCTGAGCTCAAGCAATCCACCTGCCTCAGCCTCCCAGAGTGCTAGGATTACAAGCATGAGCCACCTTGCCTGGTCCTCATGTATTTATATTAAAGGCATTAGGTGAGATTTGTTTCTTAAAAGCCTTTATCTACTTTAAAATTCTATGATCAGTCTTGCCAGATTAACCGAGGAATAATCTGAGTCACAAAAACATCTGTCCTTGGAATTTTTTGGAAAGAGAATAGTAGGAACCCTCTGGGGTGATATTTAGGGCACTTCCCATTTGCTCTCAGAACTTGAGGTTGGAAGTTTCCAATTCAAAACCACATTATTTCTGAGACAGGGCACCATACCCTGATGACAAGACTCTTTTTCTTTCTGATCCCACCCGCCCTCACATCTGCAGACACAGCACACACAGATGAGGAGCATCTCAGCCCTCAGCTGGTTCCACGGACACTGGCAAACTCTCTGTGTGTATGAGTTGGTTCCAAGAGGGTAGTTATGGAACAACTGAATACAACTCCAGATCAAGAAGAAAATTTCTTTTGTATTCAATGATCTTTCAACTCTAAGGATTTGAGGACCAAAAAAACAATTTCAAGTCCATATCTTCATTTCATTATCCAAACTAGAATCTAAAATTACACTTACACCCCCACAGCAAGCCAACCAAACAACAGACACTGAAGGATAGCCTGAGAGTTCTGAAACTATCTAATACATGGTTATATTTACCTGGAGGAAAGGAAATGAAGCCAAGATATTAGGAATTTTCTCTTCTAGAGCCAAAATGGTTTGGAGAAGAATTATGTCCGCAAGGCTCAGCTGATTACCAACAAGAAAGGTTTGTCCGTGACCCCTTAAAATCTGCAAGTATAAATGGTTTGCATTGGTTACAATATTCTACATGGAGAAAGTGAGGAAGTCATTAGATCAGTGGAGGATCTGAAAAGGGATGAGACTACAGCCTTGTCCTTTCATCAAAGGACGCTCCTGACATCTGAGAGGAAATGGAAACATCCTGAAATATCTGCTGCTGATCAGAACAAGACACCAAAGGGAGAAGGGAAAATTCATTATTTCTGAATTTAGCATCTGGTATTTTGAAAGGATACATCTATTCCATAAATACATCTACAGAAATGAATCCAGGAGGCTCAGGGAGGGGCTGGGGTGACATAAGGGTAACAGGTTGTCTAAGAGGGGCCTACTCTCATCCCCCAGCTCTGTTTCTATGAATCCCAGGACTTGTAGTTATAAACTAGATCCAACTATTTTTTTAAATTTATTTTTATTTTTATTTTTATTTTTTTTTTGAGACAGAGTCTCACTTTGTCACCTTCAGTAGAGTGCCCTGGTGTCATAGCTCAGCAATCTCAAACTCTAGGGTTCAAGCGATCCTCTTGCCTCAGCCTCCCGAATTGCTAGGACTATAGGTGCCCACCACAATGCCTGGCTATTTTTTTGGAGATAGAGTCTTGCTCTTGCTTGGGGCTGGTGTCCAACACCTGAACTCAAACAAACCACCCACCTTGGCCTCCCAGAGTGCTAGGATTACAAGTATGAGCCACCACACCTGGCCTACATCCATCTATGAATGTAGACTTCCTCTTACATCTCCCAAAATAGAGAAAATTAAAAGCTGGAGTTCATCTTGACTCCCACATTGAGGGTAACATACAGGAACAGATACCATCTGGAAGGGGCAAGGAACGGTGGCGGCAAAAGGGAGATGCCTTTCACCATGAGCTCTTGGATGCCCAAGGGGGTGTGTGTGCATGTGTGTGTCTGGCAGGGACTCTGAACACAACTCCAAATCTAACATAGCTCCTGAAGCCAAAGCGACACAGTTTAATGAACCCAGGATTTGCAGTCAGAGGCCAGAGTTCCAACCCCAGTTCTCTATTTCCGCATTACCTTGAGGGATCACTGGATTGCCCCATGATATCACTGCATTGTGTGGGAAAGGGTAACAATTCTTACCTCCCAGGTGTATTGTGAGGAGCCCTGACATAGTCTGAGCTCCTGGGACCTAAGAATCGGCAGTAACCATTTGCCAAGGCACCACATCTTCTGTGCCCTAACCACGCCACCCTTCTGTATTAGCCTACTTTACACTCACAAGGTGCCTACGGGAAAGACACCATGAAACCAAGCTACAGAAAAACCCAGAAAATCTCTCTCATTTTTCTTGAATAGAGTTCCATAAAGATGGTCAGAGGAAGTCTGCCCACTACTGTGCCTTCTCAAGTTTTCGCATCATCTTCTTTTGTGTTCAAATTGAAGCATTAAAAACAATTCCCCCAGTTTAGCAAAAGAGGAATTGGAAGCTCAGAAAAGCAGACACAGTGATAAGAAGTGATGAATAATAAAATAGGAAACAAAAAGAGCAAAGAAAAGAGAAAAAATAAAATGGAATTTTTTTTTCTATTTAGAGACAGAGTTTTGCTTTGTCACCCTCGGTAGAGTGCTGTGGCATCACAGCTCACAGCAACCTCCAGCTCTTGGGCTTAGGTGATTCTCTTGCCTCAGCCTCCCGAGTAGCTGGGACTACAGGTGCCCACCACAATGCCCAGCTATGGAAATGGTTTTTCTCCTTACATGAAATGATCAGGGGCTCGGCGCCTATAGTTCAACAGGCTAAGGTGCCAGCCACGTACACCAAAGGTGGCGGGTTCGAATCCCCAGCCCGGGCCCGCCAAACAACAATGACGGCTGCAACCAAAAAATAGCTGGGCGTTGTGGCGGGCACCTCTGGTCCCAGCTACTTGGGAGGCGGAGGCAGGAGACTCGCTTGAGCCCAGGAGTTAGAGGTTGCTGTGAGCTGTAATGCCACGGCACACTACCCAGGGGGATAGCTTGAGGCTCTGTCTCAAAAAAAAAAAAAAGAAATGATCAGGGAGGAAGCCTGGAGATACTCAACGGGTTGTTTGTTGAATGAATGAATGAATGAATGAACGAACGAACGAACGAATGGGGTAGCTTCTGCTTGTCTGTGCCTCACACAAGCTGCACAGAGCAATAGTGCACAAGTGTGGTGGGCCCACATTTTTTCTAGACTTCTGAAATAGTAGAACCAGAACAAGCAACCAGCTTTGTGCTGAAAATTACTTTAAACCCACAGGTTAGTCCAGTTGGGCTTACTTCTGCACTACCCTGGGCAGAGCTTAGTGTTTGGATATGCTTCACTTGTGAATGTTGCAGCCACCTACCTTTTCAAACACGGGAAAGTACCTAATTATAGCCTTCTGCGCCATGCCAACCACTTCCTTTTGCTGATCGTCTGGCTTTAAGAAAGGATGCATGATAATCATCTCCAGCAGATCCAGGGTCCCTTCCACATACATGTCAATCCTTAAAACAGAAAAGCATTTTTCTCAGTTTTCCCTATCAGCTTCCACAACCACAAATTCAGAGTGCTTTTTCTTAAGGCTCTGACAACTTAAGTACCAAGACGCATTCACCCACACCTGTCTTTTAAGAGCAAAGATGCAAAGTCGATTCTAGATGTAACTCAAAAAAGATGTTTCAGAAAAATCCGTCTGCAATAAGCATGGCAGTCACGTCTGCCTTCTCTCCCCAGTTCTTCCACCATGACTCTAGCACCTGCACTCTGGTCTCAGTACGGGTTAAACTTCACATTTATAAAAACGACTATCACTTGGTAAATGCTTGGAGTGTCTCAAACATGGTGGCAGATACTTTATATCCATTATGTCATTGAATCCGACCCCACTATAAGGAATGCACTATTTGTTATACCCACTGTCCATGAAACTCATCAGGAAACTGGAGCTTAACACTTTGCCCTGGGACATGCATCTACGATGTGTAAGGACCAGGCTTTGAGTTCAAATGAGAATCTAGAGCACACTCTTCTAGGCTTTGCACGTCACAGCAGCTTCTCATCCCCAACACTCAATGATAGTGACTTTGCAAGAAAGGCAAAAAGCAGTATCAAAGAGTTTAAAAGATGTTGAAACCTGAAAGGAAGATACCCCAGATAAGTATTCAATATCTGAGCTCAATTCTTTTCTACCATGTTACTCAGACTCTCTATATTAAATTCCCAATTGGTCTCCATGACTTTTGCGGGGGTTTGTTCCCTGTTTACGCCAACAATACAAGACATAAAGTAGATGAGACGTGCTTTGATTAGAGGTTTGCTAATCAGCTAAGGCAGCAGTAAGCGGACAAGTGAGAAGGCTTGAGAGGGGCCACAGTACAGGGTTCTCTCCTTGAGGTCTTTGCCGAAGAGATTGTGCTTTGCAGCTATGTAGTGGAGGATGCTTCGGGTCTGCACCAGCTTCATCCCGTCGATTTCAACCATGGGCACTTGCTGGAAGAGCAGGTGGTTACCTGAGAGTGGAAGCCCAGATTTAGAAGTGATGTCTCCTCCCCTGTTCTCTAACTCCTAAAAAACCACTTGATTAGATGAAAGAGGAGGGTGGGGCCCCAGCCTTAGGAAATAATGTAACGTTCCCTAAGGACGGATAACTTTCACTTTGCCCGGGGGCACAGATTTAGCCATTAAAAAAGCCTGAAAACCAGCACTGTTACAAACCTTCCCTTTTCATTTTCACTCACAGTGATGAGGGATGCGGAAAGAGACACAGTGAAGCTACTTCTTCAGGGCTCCACGGGCCAACACGGCAGCCACTAGCCACAGGCAGCTACGGCAATCTAAACTTAATCAATCTCTTTGAAAATATAAAGCTCAGCTCCTCAGAGGGACTCAATGCATTTCAAGCGCTCGACAGTCACACGTGGCTGGTGGCTACCCTACTGGACAGTAGGGAACAGAACATTCCCTTCGCTGCAGATGTTCGGTTGGACAGCACTATTTTCAGAGGATCACATGAAACCCAAGACACCAGCTGACTCTTTGGTTTCCATCTGTTCTACAGCTTAGACCACCTCCTAACAAGTTTGCTATTACGGGTCAAAAAACAATCCATTACTTTCTTCAACAAACCTGTGTCACACATTTTCCACACACTATACCCTGGGGAGACATGCAGGTGTAGGATGCAGCCCAGCTCTCAAGGGGCTCAGGCACTGAGGGCAGGTGAGGGGAGAGGGCAGTACTCAGCACATGCCTGGGGGTTTCCAGCCAGTGTCATCCACCAAAGGTCCTTATAGCCCTGGACATTTGATACCCCTCAAGGAAACTCTGAGTTGGGCCCAGAAACTCTACTGATGGCTAGGGGTGGGGGGAGTGCTGCTTATAGGTTGCTGGGTATTCTTTATGGACCTGCTGGGGGGTTCCCCTCTAGGGATGGACATGGAGGGAGCAGGGCTGACTGAGAATCATCCTGGGTGTGGGGGAGAGGATTACTGATTTCACTTCTGTTTGGTATTGACTTCAGAAAGCAGCTGTGTGTAAAGGGGACATTTATCTGCTTACTTCCAGCAGGCCATGATGCCTCAGATAGCACGAAGGAGGCAGGGGAAGATGATAAGGGGAGAAGGGCAAGGGAAGGAAAGAAAGGGAGGAAAGAGATCGGAGGGGGTGAAGGGGAGCAGAAAGGAATGGGGAAGAGCTGGGGAGGGGAAGGAACTGCTCCCTCCATTCAGCTAGTTTTGATGGGACACACGGCTTTTATGGAAGCAATTTCCTGGCAATTTCAGCTATTTATTCCCTCTTGCTTTTCTGGTGTTAGGACGCTGTTCTCCACATGTACTGTCATCAGCTATCTTTGCCTTTCCCTATCGATTATAGTTCAGCAGTAGGGAATTGTTTCATTTTCATACTCACCCTCCTGCAACTTTTGCAACTGTTCTTTGGTTTCCAGAAATTCTTCATCAAACTAAATTAAAAAAAAAAAAAGGAATGTGGTACCTATACATAATGGGTTATTATTCAGCCATTTTTAAAAAAAAGAATTAAAATCCTGTCATTTGCAATAACATGGATGGAATGCAATGCATTAGATCAGGCGTCCTCAAACTACAGCCCACAGGCCACAGGCAGCCCGCCTAGGACGTTTATCCGGTCCGCCAGGTGTTTTTGCCACCGCTGTCTGTCCTGCTTAGCAGCCGACTCATCCCGGGGCCCGCAGTCCGGCCCTCCAACGGTCTGAGGGACAGTGAACTGGCCCTCTGTTTAAAAAGTTTGAGGACCCCTGCATTAGATTAAGTGAAATAAGGCGAATTTGGCACAGTAGGACAAATACTACAAGATCTCACTAGTATGTAGGAGCTAAAAGGATCTCATAAAGACACAGAGAAGAAGGTGGCGCCTGTAGCTCAGTGAGTAGGACGCCGGACCCATATACGGAGGGTGGCAGGTTCAAACCTGACCCTGGGAAAACTGCAACAACAATGGGCATTGTGGCCAGTGCTGAGTCCTAGCTACCCAGGAGGCTGAGGCAAGAGAATCACTTGAGCCCAAGGTTGCTGTGAGCTAGAAGCCACGGCACTCTACTGAGGGTGACAAAGTGAGACTCTGTCTCAAAAAAAAAAAAAGAGAGAGAGAGAGTAGACAGAGAGATTACAAGAAGCTGACAAGGGTGGAAGGGCAGGGGTATGAAGAGAGGTTAGTTAATGGGTACAAAAATACAGTTAGATAGAAGGATTGATTACAGGATGTAGTGTAGAGCATACAGTAAGATGGCTACAGTTAATAATGTAATGGATGGTACAAAGAGGAAAACTAGAATGTTCCCAACGAAAGAGAAGATGTATGTTTGAGATGACCAATATCCTAGTTACCCTGATTTGATCATTACACATTATATGCATGTATCAAAATATCACATATACCCCCAAAATATATACACTTATGACTTAATTTTTTTAAAAGATATTTCTGCCCCACCCCCCCCCAGCAAGATGAATGTTATTACATGCTGAGGACTGAAAATACTGTTAAATGGCCTCAAGGAGCAGAGAGAAAGAACACACTTCACATCTACAACTTGGTTTCTAAATATCATTGCACCCTAAAAGGAATTAGGGCTCCTATGAGAAAAGGTTGATTGTGTTATTTGAGAAAGCAAAGAAGTGCTCAAAGACAAAGAGACACATCAAAGGCAAAGCCCTGAGGCCTCTCTGTGCCCAGAATTCCCCAGGCAAATTTGGGGCCATTCAAGCATCAAAAAGAATGATGTTGGCTGGGCTAGGTGGTTCACACCTGTAATCCCAGCATTCTGGGAGGCTGAGGTGGGAAGATCCCTTGAACTCAGGCATTTGAGAGCAGCCTCAGCAAGAGGTAGATCCCTACCTGTCCCCAAACTAGCAAAACTAGCCAGGCATTGTGGTACCCCTATAGTCCCAGCTACTCTGGAGGCTAAGGAGGGAGGATCACTTGAGCCCACGAGTTGGAGGCTACAGTGAGCTATGAGTACACTACTACATACCCAGGGTGACAGAGCTGTCAATTATTGTTTATAACGCAAAACAACAACAACAAAATCTGTCTCTAAATAATGACACTGAAAAAAAGTGGGGGAAGGAAAAGCTCTTTTTACAGAAGAATTAGTTTATTTTTTATTTTTATTTTTTGAAGCAGTCTCTGTATGTTGCCCCAAGCTAGAGTGCCATGGTATCATAGCTCACGGCAACCTCAAAATTCCTGGGCTCAAGCAATTCTCTTATATCAGCCTCTGGAGTAGGTGGGACTACAGGGTTGTGCCCTAAGTAATGATAAAATTAGAAAATCACCACTTTCCAGCTTGCAGTGTAATAACTAATTCTGACAAGGATCATAATGGATGCTGAAACACTGGAGTACACAAATCTCCAAGTGTCACCCCAGAAGTTACTTAATCATGATAAAGGGAAAATGTCTCTTTACAATGGAAAGATCTGGCCAGGCATGGTGCCTCATGCCTGTAATCCTAGCACTCTGAGAGGTCGAGGTGGGTGGATTGCTTGAGCCCAGGAGTTCCAGACCAGCCTGAGCAGAAAGGAGACCCCATCTCTACCAAAAATAACAATGGAGAGATCTGGAGATCTCTTACCTGCCATCTAACCAAGCAATCAAACTCAACTCTCAAAAAGGAACACCCCAGCATCCTGTGTCACCTGCTGTGGCAGTGAGAAGGATACAGCCACACCTGTGAAGATGCTGCCAAAATTATTTAACTTGAAGCTAATTACCAGGTAAAAATCAGGGATAGGCTCGGCGCCCATAGCACAGTGGTTACAGCGCCAGCCACATACACTGAAGCTGGTGGGTTCGAACCCAGCCCGGGCCAGCTATACAACAATGACAGCTGCAACAAAAAAGAATAGCTGGGCATTGTGGTGGGCAACTATAGTCCCAGCTACTTGGGAGGCTGAGGCAAGAGAATTGCTTAAGCCCAAGAGTTGGAAGTTGCTGTGAGCTGTGATGCCACATAACTCTATTGAGGGAGACATAGTGAGATTGTCTCAAAAAAAAAAAAAATCAGGCATAATGAGCACGTGGGACTCTCTGCAACATAATGATCAGGACTCCTCAAGAGTCCAGGGCATGAACAACAACAAAAATAGGCCAGGTCTTGTTGACAAAAAGTAACTAAAGAGGTAACCAGGGAGGTGCCTGTGGCTCAGTGAGTAGGGCACCAGGTCCATATACCTAGGGTGGCGGGTTTGAATCTAACCCTCGCCAAACTGCAACAAAAAGATAGCTGGGTGTTGTGGTGGGCACCTGTAGTCCCAGCTACTAGGGAGGCTGAGGCAAGATAATTGCCTAAGCCCAGGAGTTGGAGGTTGCTGTGAACTCTGACGCCACAGCACTCTACTAAGGGCGACAAAGTGAGACTCTGTCTCTAATAAAAAAAAAAAAAGAAAGAAAGAAATAACTACCAAACGTCTGAATGAACCATGATTAGGTCCGGGTGAGAGGAAACCACTAGAACTGCTAAACAGACGTGTACTAGTTACACAGACATTTGGGAGGCAATAGGACAATCTAAATCTGGATTGCCTATCAGATGTTGTGAATGCAGTGTTGATTTTCTGAGCAGTGACAATGGTATCGTTGCTATTAGGACAATTACTTATGCTTTCTTGGGAGGAGGATATATGCTAATGTCTGCAACTACTTTCAAACCATTCAGAAATAAAAAGCAGCGAAGGGGAAAGCAAATGAAGCAAAATTTTAAAAATTGGAATTTAGTTGAACGGCGTCCTTGCATCAAACTTAAAAGTTGAGGGAAGGGAAGAAACAGAATGAAAACAAGCTCCTTTTCAGGCGACATTATGAAACATGTTGTAAGATGTCTCCCACTAACCTACTTTGTGTCTAGAAGAGGAGGCCTCCTCCCTAGTCCGGGGATTAGCCCTCACCATGGCCTGCACTGTGCTCTTGTCACCCAAGGGAGGGGCTGAGCTAACCAGAGCAGCATCAACAGCCTCCCTCTCCTCCAGGGGAATTAGCTGACCTAGGGGCTGAATCAGGATCATGGGGTCTAGCCTAGGCTTCTGCTACTTGCTAGGTTGAACCCTCATAGCATGAGGAGAGGAGCATCAGTGCTCTCAGAGCGTCTCCATCTGATACCCACAGAGCAGAGGCCTCAGGGCAACAGTGTTCATCCAGGGCATCTGTCCAAATGCCCAGGTGGTCAGATGTGGCGCAGGTAATACCCTGGACTGACTGAACATGTCTTTCAGATGTGTTCAACTGAACAGTTCCCCCTGGGTATTTGTACTAAAACATACTGAAGTCAAAAATCAAAAATGTCATGTTAAACCAGTAACAGCGGCTCAGATCTGTAACCTCAGCACTCTGGAAGGCCGAGGAGGGTGAATTGCTTGAACTCAGGAGTTCAAGACCAGCCTGAGCAAGAGGGAGACCCTGCCTCTACTAAAAACAGACTATCTGGGTGGTGGGTGCCTGTAGTCCCAGCTATTTGGGAGGCTGAGGCAAGAGGATTGCTCAAGCCCAAGAATCTGAGGTTGCTGTGAGCTATGATGCCATGATACTCTACCCAGGGCAACAGAGTAAGACGCTGTCTCAATAGATATAGATATATCATATTAGTTAACTGGAAGTTGTTCGGAATGAATGATAGAACCAAGCTGAACTTGGCATTGCAAAATAAGCAGTAAAGGTTGAGCAGAACAGACAATTGAGCAACCAGCTGAACAATCTGACCCACAGGGACAAATTATTTGATCCCAAATTTCTTTCTTTCTTTCTTTCTTTCTTTTTTTGGAGACAGTGTTTCACTTTGTTGCCCTCAGGGTAGAGTACTCTGGCATCATAGCTCACAGCAACCTCAAACTCTTAGAGTCAAGCGATTCTCTTGCCTCAGCCCTCCTGAGTAGCTGAGACTACAGGCAGCTGCCATAACACCTGATTATTTTTAGAGACAGGGTCTTGCTCTGGCTCAGGCTGTTCTCCAAATCTCCAGCTCAAGCATACTGCCTGCTTCAGCCTCCCAGGGTGCTGAGGTTACAGGTATGAGCCACCCTGCTGGGCCTTTGATCCCGAATTTCTAAATTCCTTTGATTCTTGCACTGGCAAGGTACCACTCACAGTAAGGACTGGTGACATCAGAAACATTCAGGGGCCATGGGTAACAAATTACACTGGTTCCAAAAGTCAATGGTTAGAAGGTTTGAAGCACTGAAAAGAGGCTGCAGTGTACCTAGCCACTGGGAGAAATGAAATGAAATGAAAACTTTCTCAAAAATAAAACCACTCAGCTCGGCGCCTGTGGCTCAAGTGACTAAGGCGCCAGCCACATATACCTAAGGTGGTGGGTTTGAATCCAGCCCGGGCTGCCAAACAACAATGATGGCTGCAACCAAAAAATAGCCCGGTATTGTGGCAGGCGCCTGTGGTCCCAGCTACTTGGGAGGCAGAGGTAGGAGACTCGCTTGAGCCCAGGAGTTGGAGGTTGCTGTGAGCTTTGATGTCACAGCACTCTACCCAGGGGGACAGCTTGAAGCTGTCTCCAAAATAAATAAATAAATAAATAAAACCACTCAAAATAATTAAATTTGAATCTAACCCACATGACTTGATCACAACTGAGGAATTTGACCCACAGGGACAAATTGTTTAATTGATCTATACTCTGTCCAGGCTACTGTTTCTCAAATTTTATGATGATGATCATTTAAAAGACAGAGGAAAGAGATGGGGAGAGGGTTGGTGGAGATACCCATTCAGTTGCTGGGAGGGCCCAGGAAATTGTATTTTAAAAATAAGCCCTTCCTTGGCTCAGCGCCTGTAGCTCAACAGGTAGGGCGCCAGCCACAGACACCTGGGCTGATGGGTTTGAACCCAGCCCAGGCCTGCCAAAACAATGACAACTACAATCAAAAAATAGCCAGACATTGTGGCCGGAGCCTGTAGTCCCAGCTACTTGGGAGGCTGAGGCAAGAGAACTGCTTAAGCCCAAGAGTTTGAGGTTGCTATGAGCTGTGACACCATGGCACTCTACTAAGGGTGACAGAGTGAGACTCTGTCTCAAAAAAAAATAATAAAGAATAATAATAAAATAAGTCCTTCCAAATGATTCTGACTTTTTACTCCTAAGAACACATATGCAAAACATGTGCCTTCTGTCACTAGGATAACTTGTATGAAGTTTAGTAAGAAACTTACTAGGGTGGGGGATAAGAGGACGGGAAAGAGAAGGAAAATGCCTATTGAAAAAAAAAAAAAAGGAAAATGCCTATTGGGAGCCTGGCAATTTCAGTTTAGCCTAAGGTGGCAGGAACAGAGATAGTGTCCTGGTGCCACCCAGGCAATGGGCCATCTTTATTCTCTGAACTGTTTCCCACTTGGATTCCACAGAGAACTGCCCACTTCCACACCAAGACACTCCCTTTCTCAACACTCAGTTCTTCTAAGTGAATTAGTGAATTACTCAGAAGTCCTGGATTAGGACCTAATGGCCTTTTAGTCTCTTACACGTGTTAATCTTCCTTTCAAGAAGGGAGATTTGCCTGGGTTGGGGGGGGTAGGAGGGACTTTAGGCAAAGGAAGTCCCGAGCACAAAGGAAAGAACAACCAACAGAGAGCAATGTCAGTGAGGACTCAAACCAAGTGACCTAAGGAGACTGAGGAAGCAGACTCCCTGATTTAGGGCAGGCTGTGTGCCAGCAGGTTTCAGTTACCTAGTTACTCACATGTGTGTGTTCTGCCTGTCAGGTTCAATTCAGTGAGGGGGACAGTGGGAATCGTGAACTTGTCTAGTGGCTGATAGCTCATTTCTCCCAACTGTTTCAGATCCATGTAGGCATAAACTTAGCTAAAAGTGTCTTTTGGCAAGGAGATAGGAAGGATCCCCCTTCCGTCCCCCAGTGCCAATTTAGGGGAATTTCTACTACAAACCACACTATTGACTCTACCAAGGGAGACCAATCTAGGTTCCCCTGCCCTAGTCTGAGGGGGTGGGCTCTTTATTCTGCCCCACCTGCCTGTTCACTCTGATTGGTTTGGGGTACTGGCTCATAGGACTCATGCTATTTTTTTTTTTTTTAACTTATTCAGGGTTGCGTTTCTATTACTGTAACCCCAAAATCTTGATTGACAGGGGAGAGTAGGAGGAGCAGGGTAGACTGAAGACAGGGAAAAGAGAAAATCTGGCAAAGGATTAAATTACATATATATATAGGACATCCATTCAAAACCTGTTAAATAAATTGGGAATTACAAATGCAGAAGCTTACTTGGCTTAGACAAAGGACACAAATAAGTGAAGTCCACCTGATTTAGGTACCAGGACCACACATTTATTTTACTCTCCTTTCTACTCTTCTCCCCTGAGATAGCAGGGAACAGTCCTTATTCAGACCCAGAAATTGCTGCCCTGTGAAAATGATGACCCGGTATTATCAGATCTTCTGATTTCTAAAAAGAAGTCAGAAACCAGGATCTACATAAAAAAAATGATGCCAACTAATTCAGAAAGTTGTAAAATGCCGTGACAAGTTATAATGATATACACAAAATAAAAACAAACACAAAGCCAAATTCAAAACTCAATCTGCCATCTATGAGGCTGCTAGATTAACAACTCGTTATTCTAAAAACTGACAGAGAGACCCAGCATTCATCCTGCCTTTCCCATATCAACCATCTTTTAAAGTAATGAAATAGTTAATAAAAAGTACTCATTCTCACAGAATCACAGTTCATAAATTTAAGTGTAATGAAAGGAAAATCACCATTCTGTAATGATGATCAGTAAAACCAGTGGTTGAATGGGTAATGGAGGAAACTATAGACAGAACACAGGAGCCTGGATCTGATCACACCTCTGAATCCAACTAGCAGTTGGCAGGAAATACAGAGAAACAGAGGCGTATGTTCAAATCGAGTGTAGCCTCATTTTACCATGTTACTTCAAGGCAACACTTTGAGGGTAAATAAGCCAAATCCAGAATGGGGGGCAGTTTCTTCCATACATAAATGGTGCTAAAACAAATACAAACGCCTAGCTCCTAGATCTAGGCTGGCAATGCTATTTTCTATTAAAAGGGACCAAGGCTCCTTAGAGAAATTCCTGATTCCAGGGCTAGGGCAGTGAAAATACAAGATGAGCCTAGAGCATTTTGTAGTGTTAGAAAGTAAGGCAATGCTGACAACACAAAAGAGGCCAAGCTGAAAGAGCCCCAGTGAACTAATGTATAAAAGCAATGTACTCAGGTCTATAGCGACATAGATGAAAAACTGAATATGTAAATAGATGGGAAAACAAATCTTTACACAAAAATTCCAAAAGTAGATACTTTCCTTCTCCAGATGGGTGGAGTTTAACTCCCATCATTTTGAGTGTGGGCTGGACTTCATGATTTGCTTCCAAAGAATACAGGAGAAAATAGTAACTTTACAAGGAAGGTACCTGACAGACACTACCTTACCCCAGCGATCAAGGTCAACATCAAGATGTGATGAGAAGGGCCCCTCTGGGGCACTCTCCCCCAAAGCCATAACCCCCCGCCTCATCATGAAAAAGTTGAAACAAATCCAAATTGTGGAAGACTCCACAAAAATACCTGACCTGTACCTTTCAAAACTGTCACGGTGGTGAAATAAAGACTGAGAAAATGTCACAGATTGAGGGCTGCTAAAGAAACATGATAAAATATAATGTTGGAAGAGTAAAAAGACGATCGTGGAAAAACTAGTGAAATCCCTATAAAGTCTCCAGTTTAGTTAGACGTGCCAAGGTTAATTTCTTAACATGATGTAGTTATGAAAGATGTTATTATTCAGGGAAACTGAGTGAGAAGCCCTCTGCCCCATTTCGCAGCTTTCCTATAAATCTAAAATTATTCCCAAATATAAAGCTCGTTTTTAAAAAATGGAGAGGAAACTGTTACAGATTTCTTTTTAATACTGAAAGAAACCTAACCAAATGCTACATGTAGACCTTGTTTAGATCCAGACTGTAACAAATTATTAAAAAACAAACAAACCTGTATGAGACACTCGGACTGAGCTTTAGATGATAATAAGGAATTGTTTATTTTGCTGGGTGTGATAAGGGTATTGTTATGCCTCAAAATCCTCATCAGGGAGAGATAGATATTGAAGCACTCGCAGGGGAAATGATAGGATGTTCGGATTTTGCTTGAAAATACGTCCACAAAACAAGTGAGGGGAGGTGATAAATGAAAGATTAGCAAATAAATGAACAAAATGGAACAGAACAAAAGCAAAAACAGACACGCACACACAGGCAAGCAGGATACCAAGGCTGCCAGTCTGGAGCCACCGAAGTAAACAGGAAATTTATCCAGAGACGGTATAAGTAACAAAAGTTCGGGGAGTAATTGGCAAATTTCTGGTTAATTTTCTTTCTCCTTTTTTTTTTTCTTTCTTTCTCCTTAATAACAAATATTTACCGGTGGTGAATTAGAAGCCAGTAACCACATAAAAGTCTAAAGGAAAATAGAATCCCCACGAGAACACTCCATTCATAAAGAAAAATCCCTAGAAAGGAAGGGATCTTCTGGTTCAGTGAAGCACCGCCCGTGATTCTGATGGGAGAGACCTAGGGCTGAACGGGGCTCCCAGACTTATTTTTCTCTGAAAGGTCTCAACGTTTTGGGTCAAATCTGTGAAGAAACAGCGTATGGGGTACCTCGACTCCAGCCGCAGCTAAAACCCATCTTACGGATTCCATCCGGCCTCTTCCGTTGGGATAGTGGAGCTTGGGCTTCTCTGCCATGATGACTTCTCAGGCTTTCTAGGGGGAAAAAAAGGGAGCAGCTTCTCGCTCACAACAGGCTCAACTTAGTGTAGTCAACCCATTGCTCAGGGGCTAAATGGACGTTCAGGATTTTGCCACAGGAAACTTATTTTATTTTATTTTATTTTATTGCTGAGTTTTCCCTCACTCAGTCAAAATGTACTACCATTTTAAAAGATGAAAGGGAAAAAAAAAACCTTGGCTTTCAAATCGTCTCTATTTGTGACTTCTTATTCTAGATCTGGGGAAGCTGGGGCCATTTGTTGTCAAGACATCTGTGCTAGGAGCACGGGATTTCACAGATGCAGAACGTCCTGTATTTTGACCTTGAGAATCTTAAGATTTTTCAAATTCAGCTTGGAGAGGCAAGACGCGGAGGGGCTGCAAAGGAAAACCGCACGCCCACTGGGATGGAACCTCTCCGCACAGTCACGCTTTTACATACATCGTCATGTTTTATTATCGCAGCAACTGGAAGGAGGACAAGCGGAGTGTTAGTTACTACTGTCTGAAAAATGTGCGTCTATCGTCACGCCCGCGGTGGTGGCCCCCAGGTCCCGCCTGTCGCCCACCCTCGCTCCCGCCCCCACCAGGAGACGAGCCTGGGCCTTAAGAGGCGCCCGCAGGCCACAGCTTGGCCACCCGAGGGTAGACTTGCGGGGTGTTCGGTTTCCCAGCTCAGCCCACGCAGGGCCAGGGGACAATCTGAACCTACCTTGAACCAGTGATTCAGACTCCGCGGAGGAGACTAATAAAAACACGCCCAGGGACCCAAGAACGACCCCCATCCCAGCCGAGGGGCCCACATCTGCCCAGACCCGGGCGGGGACGCAAAGGACTGGAGAGAGACAGGAGGAGTAGTGAATGGAGGCTGAGGAATGAATGGGGGAGTGAGAGACTAATACTAAATAGGGGGAGAAAAATGAGAAGAGGGGACAGGTCAGGTGGGCGCGGCGAGAGGGAAAACAGACCTGGAGTCCGCTCGGAGCGCCGGGAGCCACACAAAGCGCAAAGCCAGCGGACTGCAGACCAGCAGGCGGCCTGAAGACGCTGGAGATGGGCGAGGCTCCGGGTGCGTTCACCAATAGAGACGCCAATATTTAGCATGCCCCACCCCTCTGCAAGGCATTCTGGATAATGTAAAAAACAGCCCCAAATCAAGTTAGTTTCAACTTAAACTTAGCGTTTTGAGAATGAAATTATCTTTTCTGTGCTGGTTTTGTTTAGCTTTGGTTAGAATTAATGTTAGCTCTCTAGCACAGCAAATAACCTAACCTATGTGTAAAGTTGCAGGCTGCCTCGGGTTTATATAGCTCATGCGCACACTGTTTCTTTCGGATGTGAGGGCGATCTGGCTGCGACATCTGTCACCCCATTGATCGCCAGGGTTGATTCGGCTGATCTGGCTGGCTAGGCGGGTGTCCCCTTCCTCCCTCACCGCTCCATGTGCGTCCCTCCCGAAGCTGCGCGCTCGGTCGAAGAGGACGACCTTCCCCGATAGAGGAGGACCGTTCTTCGGTCAAGGGTATACGAGTAGCTGCGCTCCCCTGCTAGAACCTCCAAACAAGCTCTCAAGGTCCATTTGTAGGAGAACGTAGGGTAGTCAAGCTTCCAAGACTCCAGACACATCCAAATGAGGCGCTGCATGTGGCAGTCTGCCTTTCTTTTGACCCGCAATCTTTTAAAATAACATGTAATGAGTTGAAAATTCTGCCGGGAAATCCACAACCCGTATATGATTTCACAATAGGCCTTCCTTTTTCTAATTCGTGTGTATTTTTCTTTCATCAGCTTGAGCTTTCCCTTCATTTTGTACCCTTTAGAGACAAGTGACCTCAGCCATAGGCTCAACACAGCACCTGCCTAAAAGGGAGACTTTGGAGGTGGGGATGGTGCTCAAAAAGTAAAAATTTAAAAATATATTAAAATTATCAAGGCTACATTATGAAACAGGATGCAAAATTCACATGAATTTTGAAGTTAAAACTATATCGTCTTATAATGGCACACCTCTTGGGTGCGGGACACAATTTTAAGAGGGAATTTACCTAACAAATACAATCAGTGTAACCTAATTCTTAGACCCTCAATGAATCCCAATTTAAAAAAAAAAAAACCTACTATGCTTTTAAAAACAGTTCTTTTTAAAAAGGCAGCTTCTGCTATTTTTCAGGCTACAGATACTGATTATTGTCTTCATCCCATGAGTGGCTCTTGAAACTGCCTTGCTTAGGAGACTACAGTGCTGAATGATTGCAGCAACTAGCACGATCAGATTTTGTTTTCATCCATTTCGCTGGCAGGATTATGGAAAATGATTTGGGACGTTGAGGATAGAAAAAGAGATCTGTTTAAGAGTCCAGGTGGGCTCGGCACCCGTAGCTCAGTGAGTAGGGCGCCAGCCACATACACTGAAGCTGGAGAGTTAGAGCCCAGCCAGGGCCTGCTAAAAACAACGACAGCTGCACCCCCCAAATAGCCGGGCATTGTGGCGGGCGCCTATAGTCCCAGCTGCTTGGGAGGCTGAGGCAAGAGAATTGCTTAAGCCCAAAAGTTTGAAGTTGCTGTGATCTGTGACGCCACGGCACTCTGCCTAGGGTGATATAGTGAGACTGTCTCAAAAAAAAAGAGTCCATGCGAATTAAAGCACCATCATGAATATGAAGACTATAGGTAAGAAAAGGGGAAATATTAAGGCGGTAGAAGGTAGAGGATTTACTTACTTATCAGATCAAAGGGAAGAGATGAAGAGGAAGAGTCTAGAATGACACCCTTCTCCTTTTCCATCCTCCTTCCCTGCTTTTCCTAACATTTATTGTCATCTAACATATGATTTCTTTCTTTTTCTTTCTTTTTTTTTTGAGACAGAGCCTCAAACCATCACTCTGGGTAGAGTACTGTGACATCACAGCTCACAGCAACCTCCAACTCCTGGGCTTAAGCAATTCTCTTGCCTCAGTCCCAAGAAGCTGGGACTACAGGTGCCCTCCACAACGCCTGGCCAATTTTGGGTTGTAGCTGTCATTGTTGTTTGGCAGGCCCAGGCTGGATTCAAACCTGCCAGCTCTGGTGTATATGGCTGGCACCTTAGCCGCTTGAGCTACAAGCGCAGAGCCTAACATACGACTTCAAAAACAAAAAAACATTTTGAGGCAGAGTCTTACTATGTCACACTTGGTAGAGTGCCGTGACGGCACAGTTCACAGCAACCTCTAACTCTTGGGCTCAAGCGATTCTCTTGCCTCAGCCTCCCAAGTAGCTGGGAAGCCTGGTTATTGTTTGTTTGTTTGTTTGTTTTTAGAGGCGGGGTCTCTCTTGCTCTTGCTCAGGCTGATCTGGAACCCATGAGCTCAGGAAATCCACCCACCTAGGTCTCCGAGAGTGCTAGGATTCCAAGAGTGAGCCACTTAGCGCAGCTATGATTTAAAAATTTATCTATCTATTTATTTACTAGAATATAAATTTCACAAGATTAAGGGTTTTTGTCTTTTTTGTTAGTCCTGCTTAATGTAAAGTAGACATTCAGAAAATACTTGTGGGATGAATTAATGAGTAAGTAAATGAATGAACAATGCTTTGGTTCCTAAGGGTGGAGGAGGAAGAAGTAGTTTGGGGAAATGGATTAATTTGTCTCATACCTATGAGACCTCCAACTATTAATGTCCACTAAACAGCTCAATGAGCCTGTGGTGACAGAAGACAGGAGTGAGAAGGATGAAATCGGCAGCAAAAGGGTGAGTTCATCCAGAGAAGGATCTAGGGTAATGAGAGAGATAGGTCAAGGCCCCTGGGCACCCCAACGGCTAGAAAATCACTTTCAAATAACATTAAGTGTATGTCCAATTTCACCTTTCTACTTCTGACTTAACACTGAAATTACTCAGTTTAATGTGAGTAAAAAGCTGCATTTCCCAAGCCTGCTGGAAGTGATCATTCTTTTCATGTTGTTTTTAGTCTATAATCAAAGGTTTATTGAACATCTGTGCCCAGATCTACTGGGTTTGATATTTAAAAAAAAAATTGTAACATCCAGTTCTTGCCTTCAAGGAACTTATTATCTTTTTAAATTGACATATAAAATTGCATGTGTCCATCATATACAATATGATGTTTTGAAATAGTCATACTTGGTATCTGTAGGGAATCGGTTTCAAGACCCCTCTGCGGATACCACTCTAAGGACACTCAAGTCCCTATATACAATGGCATATAGTATTTGCATATAACCTTATATAAAATGGTATAGTATTTGCATATAACCTACTGCATATCCACTCATACACTTTATATCTTCTCTGGATTACTTGTGTTAACCTAAAAAACAGAGGGAGGCTCTAAAAAGAAAAGGTTATTTATTTGGGAATAGAGCTTTGCCATGGGACTATGTGACAGTAAGGTCACATGTGCTGAGAGGCACATGTAGAGATTCACCAATATAAGTTTGACTGGTACATCATATTCTTTTTTATCAAGAAATTAAAGACTATTTAGAAAGTGAATTTCCTGCTGGGTGCAATGGTTCACACCTATAATCCTAGCAATCGAGGAGGCAGAGGTGGGTGGATTGCTTGAGCTCAGGAGTTCCAGACCAGCCTGAGCAAGTTAGACCCTGTCTCTAAAAAAATAGCCAGTGATGTGGTGAGCACCTGTAGTCCTAGCTACTTGGGAGGCTGATGCAAGAGGATTGCTTGAGCCTAAGTATTTGAGGTTGCTATGAGCTATGATACCACATCATTCTACCAAAGGCAACATAGAGAGACTCGGTCTCAAAAGAAATAAAATAGGCTTGGTGCCCATATTTGGTGGTTAGGATGCCAGCCACATACACTGGGGCTGGTGGGTTTGAACTTGGCCAGGGCCTGGTAAATAACAACGACAACTACAACAACAAAAAATAGTGGGACGTTGTGGCAGGCCCATATAGTTACAGCTACTTGGGAGGCTGAGGCAAGAGAATCGCTTAAGCCCAAGAGTTTGAGGTTGCTGTGAGCTGTGATGCCATAACTCTCTACTGAGGGTGACACAGTGAGACTCTGTCTCCAAAAAAAAA